ACTTAAAATAGATGGTTTGTCACAACTAAAGATTTTTTTTATAGTTATTACATTAGATTTGTATCAATGCATTTTAGCTTCGATGCGAAGCTGAGAAGGTATTGGTTTTACTATGATGTGTTTTTTTTTTTGTGTCTGTTACCACTTTTTCTCAGCTCTCACCGAACGGATTTCTTTCAACGATACGTCAAAAGATCACAAATCGTATCTAGTCGAAGACATTACCCTCAAAAATTGAAAAAATTTCTCTCGTTCCCCGTAAATGAGGGAAACCTCCAAAAAAATTACAAATTTAAAAATCGCTAATTTTCGAAATTTTTTCAATTTTTTTTAATTAAAACTGCCATAACTTTTTCAAAAATGAACAAATCATTGTAATTTTATTTTTATAGATGATTGATGTCTTTACCTATTATTTGGTATATTTTTTTTTATAAATTTAACCCTTTACCTGCCCACAGGGGGGATTTAAAATGACAAGAGAAGTAAAATGAGAAGTAGTATTTATATACTATGTATATACTACTTTCATTTGACATACTTTTTTTTTAAATCAGACTATTTCCCTATATACGGTGGGGGGGTTCAAATTTGAAAAATGCATATAGAAAGTAGAACTTTTTCAACTTAACTTTTGAAAGTGTTCCGGAAGGTCTGACACTTTTATATATATCTTAAATATAAAGATTATGTAATATACTTTATTATGGAAAAAAAAAAATGTGGAACTTTATTTTATTTTCACGGTGAAAATGGCTACCGAATGCTATTTTTGTATGAAAATTCTCGATTTTATTTTTTGCATTTTTAATTTTATAATGCTATAACTTATTGAAAAATGTATGGATCAACACAATTTTTTTATGAGAAATAATATTTTTTAATAATCCCTTTTTCATTCGACATACTTTATTTTAATCAGGATATTAATAAGGAAATAGCAGATCATGTAGCTTTTGGAATAATCCACCAATTTTTTTAAATTAAACACTATCTAAAGATTTGCATCGAAGCGTTTTTTTTTATATTGATCTTAATCACTGTGAGATATCTTTATACTTGATCCAACTATGCCACGTCACCACTGTGCCGCGACCCCACTGTGCTGGGTTTTTATATATATTTCTCGGAATAGTTAAAAGATTGACATGAATAATGTATATTTATTTTGATGACTAATAGCCATAGATTTATAGACTACTGAATAATGATTGGTGTATGTATTATAATATAGAAAGGTTTTTGAAGTGCTTAAGGATGTATCCATGTTTACAGTTGAGTTCTGACGTTTCGGACTCATTGCAGAGTCCATCTTCAGAGTGATTGTTGCTAGTTGGTGACTGCAACTAAACTCTTACTAACTATACTATACTATACAGCCACTTACTAGCAACCATCACTTTGAAGATGGACTCTGTAATGAGTCCGAAATGTCAGAAATCAAATGTAAACATGGATACATCCTTAAGCATTTCAAGCAACAAGACAATCTATGAAAGCTTTAACACATTCATAGAAGAATCGTCAACGATATCGATATCGCTAACTTTTATTATTTTTCCAACGATATCAATTATTTTTATAGTATTGCAATAATTGAAAAAATGATGTTTAATAAAAAAAAAATGTTTGAAATTTTGTGGCTTTGTTATAAAATATATAATATTTGATGTTAAGCCAAAAGTATTTTGTGATAATTTATTTAAATTAATATTGTGAATATTTTTTGTAATAAAATGTATTATTAAATATAGTATTGAGATAAGTCGAAAAATTATATTTATTGATACAAAATTTTATTCTTAGATTAGGGTTTTTTATTGTGACATTGTTGTTATTCCTGATTTTAACGAATCACGAACAAAGTAATATATGAGGAGATTTAGAGAAAGAAATTTTATAATTATAAAATAAACAGAATCAACTGGATAAAACTCAATCTGAATACTAAAATGAAATAATTAAGCCAAAAATAAAAATGCCTATTAGTAGATTGGTGGTGATGATGTATTATTCTGTAAAAGTTGAAATTTTATTTTTAGAAGGAAGAAAATTTGTTTTCAGTTTAGACAAATCAATAAAAAAAAATATAAATATCACTTATAGTCATTTTTTTTATTATTATTTAAAATCAAAACACTGAAACTATAATACTATTATTCTATAAAGAACAATTTCATCCATTTAATATAAACAATATATAGAAGGGTGTTCAGTAAGTAAGGAAACGGGTTTCCATTATTCTCATTGTTTGTAACAATTTACCTGTTTCGTTACTTAATATTCGTTTGATTACCGTTATGATATTATTATAATATTGTTATTATCTATATATATTTTTGATATTAATAACATTATCTTATTTGGTTGTATACCATAGTTTGATTTCTACAACAATGGTAATAAACGGTATTCTTGAAAATAAAAAAAATAATGAAAATTTTTTAAATTAAAGTTTAATTTTTGAATATAATTTTTTTTCGATATGTTTTTTATACATTATTGATATATTGCTATATCAGGAAAAAATTTTTTTTTCAATATTGCTATATAATATCACTGATATTCAGTACGATATTGATATCCAAAAATATATCGTTAACTGACCCTATAATATAGTAAAATACCTTCTCAGCTTCGCAATAAAAAAATATTATTCTGCAATTTCTTCACACAAAAAAATATTTTTAATTATAATTGAGGTGGATATAATGCTCATGCACTCAGACCTGTTGATCATTGCCCACAAAAAAAAAAATGTTTTTAAAAAATTAAACATACAGTTAAATTTCGTTGATTATTTAAAAATAATTCTTAAAGAATTTATAATATTAAAATAGACATTTATTTTCTTCAGTTTTGTCTTTCGAGTAATATTTTTACAACATCTTAATATTATCTTTTTTTTTTATTATACTTGCCGCAGGATGAAAAACAAATGAGCTTTTAAGCTTTCGTTAATCGAGCTACTTAAGACGAATAACGTCTACTGCAAATTCTGAAATCTTTTGTTAAATGCTAAAGAAGTAAATTTAGTCAGAACATTTAATGCTAGTATAAAAAAAGAGACTTAGTAAATATTTACCATGATCACAGTTCTTAAAATATATTTTCTTTATGATAATTCAGAATTTTGATCTTTTAATAATTTGTACTACATAACAGAATTTATTTTAATTAAATATTAAGCATTGAATTATTAGCTAATAATATACATACTGTATATTAGGGTGGCTCTTATTTTATAAACTTATGAAAATTTTAGAATCCCAATGCATTATAGCAAATTCTATGTTAAATTCAAAAAAACTATCACAACATATAATTGTAAATGATAAATATCCATATTAAACTGCACTTATCGTATCAGGAATAAATAATTTACGATTAAAGATAAATGTATATATAAATTTCGTGATAACAGCAAAACTATAAAACTGACTATAACTTCATATAAGCTTAATATTTTAGAAAATTTAATTTTTATACGAATATTTTGTTGTAAAGTGATTATTTTTAAAGTTAAAAATGATTTATGTGTCAAAAGTGAATTTTTTTATTTTTTTGAACAAGTAAAAATAATTTTAGAAAATTGTTGTAAACAATTTTTATTGTTACATTCAAAATCCTTTTATCTTAATTTATTTGCAGTAGATTATAAAGTAGCTATGAGAAATGTGAATTTAATTTAAAACTAAATGGTAAAATTATATTTAAAAGTTCTAAAAATCTAAAAATATTAATTATTTATAAGGAAACCTTATTTTTAAGGTTAAACAAGATATATATTTTTTAATTTATAAAATTTATTCGTAGTATATTTTATAATTACAGAAAACTTAAAATACATTCCAATGAAACTATTTGAATAAGTTTTAAAAAAAGTCTTAAACTATGACATAAATTAAACAATAAAATTAAAAACTAAATTTGGTGTATCACTATTGAATAATATGTTAGATTTAGTTAAATATCAGGTTATTTTTTATATAAAATCTAAAGTTTATATTATTGAACTTGTTAATTCATTTATTTATTAATATAAAAAAAAAGTTACAAGGGATAAAATTTTAAAACAATAAATTCCTTTCTTTAAATGACAAAATATAGTTAACTCAATAGTAAAAAATTCAATGATGAAATAAAATTTTTACAAATTATTAACTATTAATATTTTTTAATTACAATGGATTAGCACAGGTCAATGATTAGGATTGGACTGAAGTCATAGTTTAACTAACAGGTTGGCAAGGCTTTATTTTTTATAATACTAAGAAAATTATTTTTAATGACTAAGTAAAGATTTCAAATTTATTTTATTAAATTAATTTTTATTTGAGGGAACCTTTTTTTTAAATTACTCTTATGTAGTTATTATTTTTATGTAAACTTATATTAACTTCAATATAATTACACAGAAAAACGTAATGATGTTTTTAATAAAATTAATCGTCAACAATAAATTAGAAGTAATTATTTAAAGACAAATATTAACAACTGACGGTACATAAAAAAATTATGTTAAGAAACAAAATAAAAAAATCTTCCAACCCCTAAAATGTTTAGGATGAAAATATATGAAGGTAAAAACATAAACTATAAGTTAAATTTTGTATTGTATTTTACGAAACAAAATATTTTTATAACTATCCTAAAATCAATTGTTTTAGTATTAATGAATTTATATGATTCATTAAATTTGTTAAATTAGTGGTCAAAAAATTTCACGATAGCTGTAATCTACAAATAAAATATTATTAAACAGTGTGTTAACAAATAAATGTATACATTTTTTATCATAACAAAAATCGTATTTTGAATCTTATTTAATAAATAAACAATTTTATGTTAATAAAATACATTTTTATTACATAAAAATCAATTGTTATAGTAACTCATTATTTATTTAATATTTTTCTAATAAATATTTAAAAATTACAAATAATAAAGAATTAATAATAAAAAACAAAAACAATATTCAATTACTATTTTCGGAAACATCAATAATTATCACGAATTATTTAGTACAGTAATATTTATAGAAATCTATTGATAAACCGATTTACTTCAACTAATTATTCTATGAGTGTATTAATAATAGTAATTGTACTAATTAGTTTAATGTATTTCCACAATTTGTTCACAATTCTATTAAAACTTAGTAAATTTAACTGCTGAAACATATTTGTTAACATTTTATTTTTATTAAAAAAAATGTCACGTGATAATCAAATTTAATTTGTACCTAAATTAAATTGATCATTTTTTAATGCGTTCAATCCACAAATCTACTTATAAACATAGCATCAGCTTAATTTACTTGATATTAATATAAATTTATAAGATAATGATTTAAGAATAGATAATATATAAATACAAATTGATTAATTATTCTTTTAAAAAATGTCATTTTTAATAATAGTATTGTTCCATTATTGTTGGTGTTAAAAAAATTCTTATTGATTAAAAAAAAATATTTTTATATTTTAAAAGGATATTAATTGGGTAACTAGAACATCTAAAAATATTTTATGAAAATACTAATGAAGATATACGTAAATACTATACTTGTCATAATATTTTTATTCTTTTTTAGGTGTATCTATTCTAAAATACTATTTAAACGAGTATGTATACAAAAAGTATTGCTTTAAGTAATCACTTTTTAGTATATTATACAAAATACATCTATAAAACCAAAGACAGTGCAGAATAATAGTATATAATTTGCGAAAAAATCAATTCTTAATTATTAATAAATTGCCGTAGGCCATAATAAATGATCTAAAATAGTTAAGCACAAAATTAACAATGGCAAATAACAGAAACTTAATAAATCATAAAAAATGTAATGAGTATTTAAAAAAACAATGTTTGTTACTTTAGATTCAACAAATTTATAATTAATATAAAAGTATGTCTCAATGTCTTTCCATTAATAATCGCATAAAGTATAACATTCACTAGTCTATGTGTAATAACAAATCGAACTCTTTTAAGTCAACAATTAATCGATGTATAATTATGGCACTAATCAGTTTTAAAACTTTGAATAAATTAAGTCATTTTAAATAAATTACATTTCACCAAATATTCCAGCAAAAGTTTTTCTCAAATTTTTCATTGTATCCTCACTATCATCTAGAGGTGCCTTATTCTGTTGTACAGTAGTAGTAGAACTAACGACAGATCCTTGACGACTCAATGACGATTTCACTGGTTGATTAGATTGATTACTAGTCATACTACTCTCAGACACTAAAATAAATTTCGAGTAATTCATATTGAGCCTAAATAAAGTTAATTTAATATGTTAAATATAAAATTTTACTTATAGAATCTCTTCTTGCTGGAATTGAAGGTGCTTCATCTTCTAACTGTGATTGAGTAGGTTGTGAACCCATATTTGATAACACTTGTGACTAAAAATAAAAATGATAATACAATAATCCAGCAACTTGGTATACTCAAATATTCTCAAGAATGTAAACTAAATAAGTAGAAACTCCGTTTTTTCACATACCTCTAATCGTTCTATGACCAAGTCAAATATATGTCTTCTGTCTTCTTCTTGTTGATTACCAAGTAGAGATAATGCGGAATCATTTACCCCAATTATTTGTTCAATACCTTCTTTAGATACTACTACTTCTAATGCCAATATATCTAGTCCTCCAAAAAGTTCTGCTACAGCATCCAGCCAAAACTTGTATCTTTCTAAAACTTCGGTTTCTTCTAACATAGCGGAGCCGACACATGACTTCCAATTTCCCGTTATACTTTTTCGCCTAAATTAAATTTATGTTAAACAAACTAAATAATGAAACAGATCATATGCTTACATTAGCGCTCTGTAGTGAGACCCAATTTTAGTCAAGTGTAAATCATATTTGCTGTCGATGAATGGTTCAGTAGTACAGTAAGTTGAAGCGACAGATATAATTGAAGTCACGTCTTGAAAATCTGAATTACTATCAACCTTTATTTTACCTACTCCTCCGTGAGCATGTCCAATTTTAAGAACTACTGGTAATTGACTAGCTACCGACTAAATGAACAAAATAATCATCTTAAATATTTGTAGTTAAAATAACTTATGAAATATTGATCATTCAGTTTTTACCATTTCGCCAGAACTTGGATAAAATGTTTGGTCAATCAACGGGAAGTTTTCTTTACCTAGTTTTTTTTGTAATTGCACTAGTTGTCCATAGACCCATGGTTTGTCCTTGAAAAAAATTTCAAATTAACTTTGTAATATGAAAATAATAAATTAACAGAATAAAATTATATGATTTACTTGGAAGTTATACAATGAAGTCAATGAATTGATACTGGGTACACCACCAATATTTAATCCAAGCAATACATTCCTATAGTCTTTATCAGCATCTCTTACACTTTGTCGACATAAGAAAAAGTCAGGTTTAAATGAACGAACGACTTTAGATCCAGATGGAGAAACAACTGTCATACTAACAGTACAACCTTTTTCGGCATTCGCCGTTACAGTCAATTCTTTTATGTTTGCTTGTTCAACTTGAATTTCAAAATCACCAAAGAAACGTTTGCCTCGAAAGTATCTAGACCTATATTTAATATACATAAAAATTATCATAAGTCAATGATATGAGGTCAGTTCAAATACAATGATTATTTATTCAAAAATATATTTATATTTATTAAAAAATAATAACTAACCAGTCCAGATTTTCATCATCAACCACTAGTAATGTTAATAATCGATCCTTATTTACTCTTTGTTGTCGTCTAGTTGCAGCAGCGTCTATAATATTTAAAATTCGTTGTTAATTTAAAAACAATACATTTTGACATGAATAAAAAAATACACATTAATTATTAATTTTTTTTTACAATTAATACTCAACAATTTATTTTTGAATTGATTACAAATAAATACTTTTACTTTTAGACAAGTTTATTTTTTATTAATCAAGATTTTGATATAATCAGTTTATATAAATTTATTTTAAGTTTATAAAGAAGAGCTTATTTAGCTTTATTAACTTCTTATCAGGTTAAATATATATATTTTTTAATTATTTTAAACTTTGTTCAAATATTATTTAATTATAGTTACAGGTATAAGTATACACGAGTGTAACTAGTTGTATCAATATTAGTGTAACATCACTTGAATATATAGACTAAAGTCTCGAAAGTACCCTTATTATTCTTTATCAATACTACAATTTTGGCAACGTTACAAGTTATAAAATTCAATAAAGAAAGACCTAATATTTATATTTAAACAAAATTCTAAAATATATTTCAATATTTTGTTTTAGTAGTATATTAATAGAATACGATTATAATTAGAAGTTATACAAGATAATATTATTATCTTGTATAATTTCTAATTATACAAATTGGGAATTTAAAAAAAAAACAATGATTTCATATTTTGTATTATAAAATTTATTAAAATTAATATTATTTTTTTTAAACAGTTTTTGTAAATTTGTATACATAGTGATTCTTTAACTACGTTTCACAAAATCCTTTTGAAAATATAAAAGCTACAAATTTACAACAATAGTGATCCTTTATTGAACTATTCTATGAGAATAATTAAATTTCTCCTACTATCCTTTATGCCTTAAACTATTGTTTTTAAAGTTTGTTTTAGACAATTGTGTTGCGTTTAGAAAATCATTTAAATCTGATTTTTATTCATTAGATTTAAAATTTAAACGATTTTTAAATTGTGTGGCTACCCTATTTTGTTAACCATCCAATTTAATTGATTGATATTGAACTTTATACATCGTATACAATGATTTCAATTGATATAAGAGCATAAATTCGATTTATAGCATTTGCTTCTTGTATAAATAAATTATTATTTATTAATAATCCCTAAAACTTAAAAGGCTTGTAATTCACTAGGAATTCAATAAAATAAAAATATCTGTTTCATCCAAATTTTTATTTTCATGGTAAAAATATCAGGGTTGCTATATGAATAACAAGAGTTTAGGGCTTAAGGTATTATAGTAGAAATGTAATTTTTCTTATAAAATAGCTTATATAGAGAGTTATGTGAGTAAAAAACGGGTTTCTATTATTCTTATTGTTTGTAACAATTAACCTGTTTCCTTACTTACTGAACACCCTGTATATATATATAAATATATGTGAGACTAGCTATCATATTTTTAAAAATATCTTGTGAGGTGTAGTTAAGAAATCAATCTGTATATAAATTCAAGATCAAATAGAGCTTTACGAGTTTCTTATTATTAAATGTTCTGTATAAATCGATAAAAAAGTTAAAGTTAACATTTATGAATAAAGAAATTAGTTTAACCGATTTAGTGGTATAATTTATCATATAAAATTCAACTGAGCACTACTCACATTTGATATCGTTACTAATTGAACTAGCCTTCTCTTTTGCCGCGTCCGTTAAAGATTGAACACGTTGTAAAATAGAATCTCTTGTTTTTGCTGGGCTTGTTGGTGCGCTGATAGTCCGATTTCCGGGTGCTTGAAACTCTAATCGCATGTCTGCATTTTCAGATGCTGGAGTCGCCGCTTGAGATCTAGATGGCTTAGATGCATATTGTCTCTGTTGAGCTCGTTGTTGCGACTGAGCCTGCGTTTGGTCAGAAGAGGCCATTGACGGATCCGCATCATCTGCTTCCGAGGATAAATCCCCGGAAGAAAACCTAAAAAAAAATGCGTTGATTAAATGGAAAGACCAATACTGTCTTAGGAATCATAAGTATAATTCATATACGAATCATATAAGGCAAATCATTGTCTAATTACAAAAATGTTCTATAGAAAAATAGTTAATTATTTAGAAGACCATTTAAAAATAAATCTATTACACAGTTATATAGATTTTATATTTTTTTATTTGAGATAATCAATTACTTTAAGAACGTAATAGCTTCATTCAGAACAAATGTTATAAAAATTATATAATGTTTTTATTAGACAATTTTTCAAAAGATGATTTCAATTTGAATTTACTTAAAAATATTTCTGAATAAAGTATTATGAAGTGATTTAATAATATTACTGATAAAATAGTAAAATGACCTATAAGTATGTAATATTTATTTACATTCAATTTTTAAAATTAAAATACATAATTCATTTTTATTAGCTTAAAAGCGAGAAGCTTTGCGAAAAAAGAATAGCATTGCCATATTCAAAGTTCATAAATTTAGTATGGTAATTGTAAATCCAAAGGTTTCAACTTTAAAAAAAAGTGTATATTTAAACACAAATATACGATTTTGATTTTTTTGATAAAACATTTCCATATAATCACTTAAAATTATCACTCTGATTTATTGAAGTTAAAAAAACATAAGTAAATAAATGTTATAAACTCAAATTTTTTTAGTGAATTAATTATTTATCAATAACACTTTTCGTATTAACTGAAATGTATTGAGTATTTTTATTCATATTTTATAATGAATTTAGTAATTAGTTCAAAATTACCAAAAATTGGTAAAAGAGCACGTAAATTTATTATCAAAATATGTTATTTATTGTTGGATATTTTTTTTTGGTAATTTAGGACAACTTTTTAGAAGATATTCTACAAATTTGTAGCCACACATTATAAAAAATTTTAGTGGTTGGGATGAGTTTAATAAGTTGATAACGAGTTTAACTTATAATATACTTGTATTGCATTATAATCGGTCAACCTAATAAATATATTTCTAAATATTAAATAAAATAAGTAATTTTCATGGGCACCAGTCATTAGGTACTTCATATAGATACTTTGAAAATAAGTAAAATATTCATTTTATTATTCATAAATTAACAAAATAATTGTGTGAAATTTTGCGTCGGTGTTAAGTAGTATAACTTAACCTTTTTAAATAATTAAGTAAATTTTACGTGCACTCTGATTGATCGCTAATTAATTATAAAGGTTGTACACTTATAAAGTTTAAATAATAATTATAATCTAAAGATTATTGTAATCACGTTTTGTAATTAATTATTTTAATTTTTACTAAAATTAAAAGTTTACCTCCGTTTCAGATAATTGACATTGGTGGTAAATGACTGTTTAAACGTTGAGAATGGAATCTTGACTGTTTTTTTTTACTTAATAAAATGAAGAGCTCTTGGCTCTCTCAATAGAAATTTAAGAATTATTTGATTTTTAAATGAATACACTAAAGTTATTCGTTATAATTATTTTGTTGTTACGCACTAGAGTATTGATGTATGTTGTGTCTTCAATTTCGGTCGGTCAACTTTTTGGGATAAAGGCGTCGTCGGCTATACTTTCACGCTATCAAATAAACTGCGTGTAGGACGAACGATCGATAGCTGTGTACTTGTGCAAGCATTAACCTCTAGCGGTCGTTTTATGAACAATATACCGAACTATAACTTAACAGGAGGGCGCAGGCAATCAGAAATAACGATACCAAACATTGAGCTGAGATAAAAATCTATAGAGGCTCATAAATGATTACATGGTTAAACAGTCTTGTGGGAAAGCATATGGGCGAGAAAATAGATACTGAGATATTAAGTTGGAATAATTATAAAAGAAAAGTGTGTAACGTTTAGAATTTATTTTTTAATAAGAAATAGGAAATTTGGAGCAAAACCGGGACATCTTGATATTTCTTACTCCATTTTGTCTTAAGCTACTAAAAATGAGTTCTAAATATAGCTTGTTTATAAGATAACACAAAATTTTGAACTTGAATAATAATTAATTTATCGCCAATACCTGAAAATCAGTACAAATACGTGTTATTAATCTGTTGTTAAAATATTTTGTGGTTTTCGTTTTTAAAAAGTGGTTTTAAATATATAACTGATATTTATTTATTTTTATTATTATTATTATTTGAGTAAATTAAGGAGCTTTTATTTAGTATAAATTTTTTTCATTATTAATGATATTTCGTTAATAAATTAACAATAATAAATAAGTAGAATAATTGGGGCTAATTAGGATACACGTATAACAAGGACGGGATACTACGTTTAATTAATTTTTAACCATAAAATATTATTAACTTTAAATGTATTCTTTTTATATTATTACATATTTAAGGAAAAAAAAATTAAGTTATAAAGTATTCATGAATAAGACTATCTAAGTTAAATATATTGAAAAATTATAATTCTGATTAGACATGTGTTAATGTTTTTGCAAATACTTAATAAAATCTTTATTATAATACTAATTTTCTAAAATTACCATGAGAATTATTGAAACCCTATTTTGATACACGGGACAAATATTTGTATACTTTATTTATTTTAAACATAAAAAATTATCTAAATTTTAAAACTATATAAGTTCAATATAAACATGTTATATTTAAGTTATTATTAATTAACAATAATAATAATAATCAACACATCATAGAACAATTAATACCTTCTTAGCTTTAGTTAAAATCTAAAATATGCTTTAAATCGTAGTCTAAGAAGACAATAATTATTTAAAAAAAAATGTCAACAAAATTATTATTGTGTCTATAGTTATAAACGTTTTTTAGTTAGGTCTGAGACACTCTTTATATAAATCAGTTTTATATATGTCTCCATGTTGATGTTTTAAAAAAGTTGGTACCCTTATATGAAATAAGGGATAAAAAGAATATACCTAATAGTTAAATTAAATGATTCATCAAAAATGTTCTTTATTTTATAAATATATATTTATAAATACAATAATAGTACAAATAATGTTGGTGTTAATTATAAAGTCCAGTTACACCTTATTCAAAGCCAAATACAAGCCATGTTATTAACATCTACCTTACATGTAATACTATATATTTAAAAAAAAAATCCAGCAAAGTGGAATCGCGGCATAGTGTAGACGTTGCATAGTTGGGTCCAGTATATATTTAATCTGACAGTGATTAAAATCACTATCATAAGAAACGCTTCGATGCAAATCTATAGATACTGTTTAATTCTAAGAAATTGATGGATAATTACAAAAGCAACATCAACTTCTATTTCCTTAATTATACCCATATTAATAATTCTTTTAATTATAAATTATATAATTTTTAAAATTAATTGTTTTCAAATTATTATTTTTATACTACAACCTTAGATATTTCCCTTTCATTTGATATCATTTTTTTGAAAATTTAACACTTAACCTGCTCATTGGGGAGGATTTCAAATAGCAACTTTTTTACAAAAACTAATTTTTTCAACTTAATTTTTGAAAATGTTCCGGAAATACTTCGTCCTTTAATCATATATCAAAGTAAAGCTTAATTTATTTACTATAAAATGAAAAAAAAAAATTTGTCCCAACACTTTTTCTTCTGCATGTAAACGGCTGCCGTAGTTAAAAAAACGCTAATTTTGTGATAAAATTTTCAACTGAAAAGTGCTATAACTTTTCGAAAAATGTAATTATCAGCACAAATTTTTTTTCTAAATACATTATAAGTACATCTTTCATTTGACATATTTTTTATTGAAATTGGACTATTTCCTCTAATATAGGGGGCGTTCAAAACTTGAAACATTGTATAAAAAGTTGAACTTTTTCAACTTAACTTTTGATAGTGTTCCGGAAATACTGAGTCCTTTAAACATATATAAAATTAAAGCTTATTTTATGTACTATAAAATAAAAAAAAAAATTTGTCCCGACGACCTATCTTCTATGCGCAAATGGCTACCGTATTTAAAAAATATGCTATTTTTCTATTAAAATTCTAGGTTTTGTATTTTATTTTATTTTAAAATATTTTATTAAGAGAATATATTGACTTTCATAAATAATATATAATTTAATTGACATAGAATAAAGTTCATAAGACATAAGAAATTAAACTTATTAATTTTTTTTTACTTTTTTAAAGTCGAAAAAGTAATTTTTAAATTTGAGTTAGCTTAAATAGCCAATTTTTTAGGTTCGATGCGAATTTTTTATATGTAAATACTAATTTTTAATAATATTAAAACTTAGAAGTGATAGAAAAAGTCTAATTGCAGATTTGAAAACATCGCGAAAAGTTGATTTAGAATGGTATATTTTTGTTACTGATGAAAGTTCCTTGTAGTTCAGTGCATTTATTTATAGTAACAAACAGTTTTTATTGAAATTTATTGTATCAAGCCCTTTAAATTTTTATACACGTAAAAATAAAGCAAAATACAACTTCTTTATTATTTTTATAATTTCTCCGTTTAAATTACAATATTAAATTATTGAATATCAATTTCATACTAAATTTAATAATTATAATTAGTATTTATTCATATATTATATTTTAAAATCAAAGAACTACTAATTAGGATATAATCAAAGAAATAAGAGTTGATGTTGCTTTTGGAATAATCCAACAATTTCTCTAAATGAAACAACACTATCTACAGATTTGCATCGAAGTGTTTCTTATGATAGTGATTTTAATCACTGTCAAATATCATCTATACTTGTCCCATCTATGCCTTGTCTACACTGTGCCTCGACCCCACTGTGCTACCGTTTTTTTCTTTCTATTGCCACTTTTTCTCAACTCTCACTGGACCGATTTCTTTTAATTCAATTCGTTGAAAGATCACAAGTCATATCTAATTGAAGAAATTTTTCTTAAATATTGGAAAAATATTCCTCGTTCTCTTTAAATGAAGAAAATCCTCCAAAAAATTTTGATTTTTAAAATCGGTAAATTTTGATATTTTTTTAACTATTTATCCTTACAACTGCCATAACTTTTATTTAAAATTAACGACACAAATTAATTTTTTTGTATAATTATCTTAGGTATTTCCCTTTTATTTGTTATATTTTTTTTGGAAATTTGTCTTTATATCTGCTGATAGGTGGAATTCAAAATTGACCCTAGAATTTCGTAAAAGTTAACTTTTAAATATGCCCCAGAAAACTCCGTCTTTTAAATATATGTTAAATTAAAACTTATAAAAAAAAATTCTCTCAATAACTTATCTTCTATGTTCAAATTGCTACCGTAATAAAAAAACATGCAATTTTTTTTTTTTTAAATTCCTTGCAAGGGTTTGCCATAATTAAGAAACCAACCATTTTTTTTATAAAAGTAACATGAATCTAACTTACATTAAAAATAAATTTAAACTTATTTTGAATATTTTGTCCCCCCACTAAGCTGAGAACAAAATTTTGAACTAGCTTAAATTGTCGTGGAGTTGATAGTAGCGTTTGTGCAGTGATATATTACATAGTTGCATTTTTTTTATCAAAAACTTGGTTCAATTTAGAATAGTTAATTGATTTGCATGTATATTTTATATTTTTTGGTATATTAGCTAGTTTTGAAATTTCATTTATTAATTTATGCTTTACAGAAAATGAAGGAAAATCACTTAATGAAATTGAACATTTTTTTATCAATAAATATTCAAATTATCAATAATAGGAAAAATCAAACTATAATTGAAGCGTTTACACACACAAAAAAAAAAAAAACACGAAATTCAACATGTTTTATATAAATACATTTTTTATTTTTATAAAAATTCTTTAAATAAATTATTATACATATAGACAACAATAAGAGTATTTATGAGCAGTTAATCACAGAAGTGTCGTAGGGCATTTGCAAATATTAATGTTATCTGCGGGTGGGTTGTCACAATCATCAATATTACAACAATGATGGCGTCGGTGGCAGCTATTGTCTGGTATGGATCGTAATGAGTCTTCAAAATTTTCATTGGATCTATTTTCATTGAAATTATAATACATTTTATGTTATTTTTTGTATAAATAAGTAATAATGAGGTGTACTGCCGAACTAAACAGTTTGTTAGCTCAATGAAGAGGGGAACTTAAATTACTCAATCGATATATTTGTATTGTTATTATATAAATCCCTCTTGCATGCAAGTGCATAGCTAGAATTTTTTCTTTCTTTATCTTACAAGTCAGAATGGTAGGTAAAAAAGGGATGAGAAGTGGTTTAAATGTCTTATCTTTTATCTTGAAAAATCACGAAAATCTTGATTTTCATACCACGTTTACATAGTTTATGGTATTGAAAAGCATTTGAAAATTTCAGTTATTTCAACATTACTAATCGGAGTTCACCACATCATTATCAATAATTATTAATTATTCTTACTTTAAAACAAAAGATCTAGTTATACTAGCAGTACCGGTGCTACCAGTAGCACTACTACATGAACAAATGTCAGTGGTATAATTTTCTGGTTCTTTTTTTGATTGACATAAAGATCGCCGGTTTATATTTGAGCATTCTGTTGGTACAAGTGATCTGGTCTGATTACATCGAACACCTCGTCTAAGATTTTTAGGATTTATAACAGCTCCACCGTATAAAATTGATCCTTCTACAAACGATGTTGGATTATTTAATGATCTAGGCTCACAAGTTGAAAGCCTAGCTATGCTACCATCACTTAAAGTGAACGGATATCCTTCGTGAAAACCAAAATTACCATACGACAATATTTTTTTTTTTTTCTCTCTAAATAATACGTATCTAATTAATATACAAAATGTATAATTTGAAAAAAGCAAATATAAATTTTAAACAAACCTTCTACGCCCTGTACAAACACACGCTACACCTACAATAGCTCCCATGAAAATTAAAAATCCGAATAATACAGTCAGTAGTTCAAAAGTCGTATAAAGACTGAATGAATTTTCTACAGAAACTTCTCCGTGTTTTTTGGGAATCCGAGAAAACCCAAGGAAATGTAATGGTTTAAGGAAATAATTAATTTTATCCTGGTTATCCAACATCAAACTATACATAACATATTTTATTAAGATTTATTTAAATAATTTTAAGTTAATTTTATGTAAATATTACAGTTATAAACTTACTTCATTAACATATCACTATCTGCTAGTTCATTTGTAATAGGATCAATAGCGTAAAGTAGAACATCAGTTCTAAAAAAACAAAAAGAAAGATATGTAAAAAATTAAAAATATTTGTTGAACTAACATTGAGACACTTTATATTAAAAAAATAAAATATAATTTGAAAACAAAAATATTATATTAGACTTAAATATAGAGTGCTATAAATTATTTGGTTAAATAGATTCAAATTATTTCATCTTTAGAACACGAGAAATTAGTTTAATAACTTTTAATTTTCTTTTATACTTTTTTTTCATAATAACTTTATAAATTTTATTTTACAATTTTTTTTAACTTTTGAAGAAAAATATATTATAATATCATACATGTTATTTGAATTAGAGTCGATTTTCCAAATTTTAATCATACAGCCCGTAATATTAGTCACTGAATTCGTTATAAGTTCAGAATATTTTTCTACTAAAGAAGGTTGCATTGCCATAGCCATAGTGACTAATTTTCGGTCATCCAATACATAAATCTAATAACATAAATTGTAAATCCAAATGATCGATTCATAATCTTAAAAACTTACTAAAACATTAGTTATTGCTGATCGGCCATCAGGTGCTCCACTTTTATCCACTGCTCTAACATCAAAGCCTAACACAGAATTATTAACGTATTTGCCTAATCCACTAATGGTACGAATAATTCCAGAGTATGAATCAACTGAAAAATATTTATTTTCTGTTGTAGTACCTACGAGTTCATAGCGTATGTCAGAATTAATTCCAATATCTAAATCTTCTGCCTAAAATATAGTTATGCCAGATAATCATTTTTTTAATTATAATACTTATATTGTATATATATTACAACAAATTGTTAACTTCAGAGTATATTTATTATTTTACTAATGATTGGAAAAAATTGGTTTATTTATTAAAAATAATTGATGGAGAGGGGTAAAAGTAAATGCTTATTTTTAAATAAATAAAGACTAGAACTTTTTAATATAAAATAAATATTCTAAGAAAAAAAATTAATTTACAATTATCCCAATTCACTCAAAATGTATTTAATAATTTTTACATATTAATATGTATAAGTCTATTTTTATTAATAAAAGAATGGGGAAAAAATGATATGATATAAATAATTCATACTTGAACTTTTACAATTGGTGTACCGAAGCTTGTAGATGGAGTTACAGCAGCAATGACTGGTCTGGTTCCGTTAATAAACACTGGAGAATTATCATTTTGATCTAATATTTTTACTACTATACGAGCTTCATTTGGAGCTTTAGTCAAAAATGAATTGTTAAATTACTAATTAAAAGTAACATTTAAACAGAAAACATATTTTACCTAAATCTTGAACTAATGAATAACCTGTATAAGCAGATTTTCCTTTTCTTGTTGTAACTTCAACTTGTATTACAACCGTTAACGTCGGAGTAATTTCTCTGTCTGGACTTTCAATGATGTACACATTTCCATGTTTAGGATCAATTCTAAGGAAATAAGTTTTCTTAATAGTTTATATATAATTAGTTAATAAAATAAAATAAACATTAATTTTAAATTAAATTAATCTTACTCAAAACTTTCACTATTCTCCGAAGGAACGATAGAATAGATGATGGAAGAAGCAAACCGTCGATAACGTGGAGTTACATTAAGTTTTAAAATTTCCAAGGGCACCAAGCAATTTTCTTCAACTTCCAACTCAAAATGTCTAATCTCAAAAATTGATTCTTCGGTTTCTAAATTCTTATCAGCTACACTTACAATTAAAAGAGCAGCATTATCTTTTCTTGGTGTACCCGAGTCATACGCAATTACTGTGACATTGTAAATTCCACTAGTAAGCGCGTTCTTCAAAGTTACCACTCCCGATTTTACATCTATGTCAAAATATTGTGCCCCAAATCCAAATAAACTATACTCAACTTCAGAATTTCCTCCTTCTATGCCATCTGGATCTTCTGCTACAATTCGTGTTACAACAGTTCCCGTCGAACCAGCTTCAGCTAACGTGGTTTCATATACTGGCACAGTCAAATCTCCCTCAAATCCTTGAAGTCCAATTTCATTGGCGGACAATTTTCTAACTCTGTGATGATTTCTAAATTGTGGTGGATTATCATTTATATCTAGAACTTTAACGATTATATCTACAGTTGATGGCGTTCCACCTGATGTTCTTTTTCCCGATAGTAGTAAATCAAAAGAGTCTCTAGTTTCTCTGTCTAATTCACCGGTCACTATCAAACAACCTCTACTACTAACTTCAAAATTTGGATTTCGATAATTTCTTCCTGATATTGAGAAAATTACTGCAGTTTCTTTTATAGCTAAACAACCAACTTCATGATGTTTATAAAAACCCTCTGGTACCCAAAATTCAAAAATTCTATAAAAATACAAATATTTTAAAAACTTGTACAAAAAATTTGATATTCACCTCCTTTCTTACTTTTTTTCAAACAAATGATCTTCTTCAACATGTAATACTATTGTAACCCAAGTTAGTAACCTATCTTCATCTTCTGCGGTGATATTTAACTCTTGTTCTCCAATTTTTAGTTGACTGACTACAGAGAGCTGGCCTGAAATAGGATGAATGGCAAATTCCATTCCACTTTTAGCTAACTTGTAAGTAATTGTTGAACCATTAGAATCAAAGTCTTCAGCATTAACAGCTAATAAAGGTGAACCAGGTTGTATGGTATCCGGTAACCATACAGCTAGTGTAGCTGATGAATTTTCCATACGATGTGGTACAATATACTCCCCCATTGTAACAGTAATATTTGATGCGGGATTAACAGCAATATGAAGTTTTTCATTAGGGTATACATTAATACGGGAGATCGAAGGAACATTATCATTAACGTCAGTTACATGTATAGTGAGATTTGCCTCTGAAGACAAATTACCTCTATCCGTAGCCACAATTTTTAAATTATAAATATTTTTAAGTTCTCTATCAAGAATACTTTTTGAAATAAAAACTGACCCTGAATCTTTATTAATAGAAAACATTTCATGACCTAAAAAAAAAAAATTTTATTGATAACAACGATCAATGATCTAAACTATTTAACTGACCTTGTCCTTGTAAGATCAATGAGTATATAGAATTTGCTCCGAAATCTCGATCTGAAACTTTCACTGGAACATTTAATGAAACAGAAGTACCAATTGGACTATTTTCTAACACTGAACCCTCGTAATTAGATTTTTGAAATTCGGGTGCGCAATCATTTTCATCATCAACTATAACTCGAACTTGGAATATTGTGGCATGGTGTATACCAGTTTTAGTTTTTCGGTCTGCTATGACAGTGAGCTTATAATTTTCTTTTGTTTCCCTATCTAGGCCAGATTTTGTGTATAATACTCCTTCTTCTGACACGGTAAACAACTCCCCGTCATCCGGATCAGCAACTATAAATTTAGGCTTAGATAATATCGATGAATTTGATAAATCGGCACTCCAAAGTCGTCCTACAGCTATTCCTGGTAAATTTTCTCGGACTTTAAAGACTATATTTATGGGGTCTACAGTTCTATAATGTATAGACATAAATAATTAAATCATTAGTTCATAAATAAATAAATAAATAAATTTATTATTGTTATTATACTTGGTGAGGGTTTGGCTGGAATCTGAATAAACTATGTGAATTGTGACATTGGTAGTAATTGTCATGTGTTTATGATCTGTAGCTACAGCTTCAAACTTGTAATCGGTTCTTTCAAAATTGGATATAGCGTCTACTACTGATATGGTTCCACTTTTTTCTTCTACAGCAAATGGCACTGTAATATAGAATTACAAATACAAAAATAATCTTTTTAAAAATCACTTAAATTGAATCGTTTAAAGTACCTCCTTCTTTGTATGTATGTAATAAGTCATAGTCTATTTGAGAATTATCAGAAAGAGTTCTTATTTGACCAACGCTAGTACCAACAGGCACATCACTGCCAACCCAAAACTCGTATGGTGCATTAACAAAATCAGGATTAGTAATTTCTAAATATAACAAAAAATGATCTAATAATTAATAAAATACTAAATATTTTACATCAAATACAGTATAATTATATTTCGGTCTAATTATAACTATACCTTCTTCCAAAATAGTAACAGTAACCACAGCTAAAGCATATCTTGTTTCACTTGGATCTATTGGTTGATCTGACGCATTTACTATTACCGTATGTTTTCCAGGTATTAATGGAGAGACATTGGAGAAAACTTCTCCAGTATCTGAATTTATAGCAAATATATCTGAATCGTTATTTGCAATATATGGAATTCTATAAACTATACGGCCATTCACCCCATCGTCCGGATCAATAGCTTGAACCTTAAAAAAAAAATTATACTAGATTATTTATAATTGTCCTATTCGCAAAAAATAGAATAAAAATAGTATAACCTTTCCAATTGTGACTTTTGCTGGATTATTTGCTCGGGAAGTAAAAGAATATTGATTCTTTGGGACAAAAACTGGACTATTATCATTTATGTCAAGAAGTGTCACTTCCACACTAACAAATGCATCACTGAAAACATTTTGATAAGTTATAAAACAATTTATTATTAATAATTTGTCTTTTGTTTAATTTTGTAAATTAAAGTTATTAAACTAAATAAGTGTCGTGTCATAATTAAATTACATAGGGCAACAATGTATGAACAAAAATGTTATTATGTTTCATTTGATCATTCATTATGTTTCAATTTTACGATGAAAAATTAAAGGGATAAATACATTTATGTACCCATCTCAGAAGTACAACAAAACAAAAAAAACTTAATATGAGATTTAAATTGTGTAAAACTATTCTCGGCACTAGGAAAAACACATAGATTTTTACCAATTAATAACAATACCATAAGAAACCTTAACATATCATTAATTAATTTTTTATTTTCCAACTAAAATAATGAATTGAATAATTATAACATATATAATAATTATATTGAATTGTAATATATTACATATATATTAATATAAAAAACAATTACAAAAATTTGGTTTGAAAACAACAAAAAGATATCATTAAATTATTTGATTTCGAGCGGCATTTGAAATGCTAAATTTTACATGTTACACTTTTTCTCAAATTTCAAATTTTTGATGTATTAAACAGATATATAACTAAAAATTTTTAAAAAAATGTCTTTGAAATTAGTTCCCTAGCATAAATACGTGTATTTTAATAAAATTTCTAACTTCGTTGACCTCTAAATCCCAAGATAATTGTTTAAAATATTTGAAATTTAGTTGAGTCATAAATTATACACTATACAATACCATGTTTGAAAATTACTATAAAACAATAACTTCGTAATGGTTTTAATTGAGCCTAAAAACGCCATTTTTAGAATGTCATTAAAGTTTGGAATTTCACATAATTTTTTTTTTTTTAATCTGAACTTTAATTTATAATAAGTTCAATTCTAAAATATAATTCGATTAAGTTAATATTGAACAATCTGATTGTTTTTTAACGTTCTGGCTATTTTTAACATTTATTACATTGAAATAACTATTAAAATGGAAAGGTCATAAAAAAAAATTGTTTTAATCTAAATATAGTATAAAGAATAAACCCTGAAAATTTTAAAAAAAGGAGGTGTTTGTGCGACCATTTCTGGATAATTTGGCATGGATAACCCGTAAGAAAAATATTTTCAATTGAACAAAAAATAGAGCATAAATCATATTGTTTTTCAAATATAATATTTGTAGCTGTTATGAAGTTGAAAGGTATTATTTTGTTTAATGTGGTATTTATTTAATTTATATAGTGGCAATTATTTATTTTTTGTTTATGTATATATTTTTACTCTAACGAAATGTAAGTTAAAAAACAATCTTAATTTTCTATTATTTTAATCGTATTGATAAAATTATAATTTGATGATAAAATCTACTCTAAATTATTTTTTATATATTACAACTGTTTTTCACCTATTTTCTTTTTGTTGCATAACAAAAGGTATTTTTTCTCTAGCGTATACACGAAGGGAGAAGCTAGATTTTTGTTCACGGTCCAACTTTGTATGATTACGAACACTTATCCATCCCGTCTTTCCATCAATTGTAAATGCTTGACTGGGATCGACCAAATGATAAACAAATTCTCCATTATCTCCTTGATCGAGATCGGTAGCTACTACTCTAATTACGTTATATCCATTGGGAACATGTTCATACAAACTCACATTATATGCGTCTAATTCAAATTTTGGTTGATTATCATTAACGTCAGTAACTTCGATTTCTACTTCAGCATATGCTTTCTTCGAGGGGTTGTTAATGTCCACAGCTTGTATCTAAAATTTTTTTAATTTTATTTGATAATTTTAACTATTGTATTTAATTTTTTTATTGTAAAAATATTGTAATTTACCTTTAGTAAAAATATATTTGATGGTAATAGGTCAGCGTCAATTTCTTTGTTAAGGTATATTTTACCACTCATCGGGTCAATGTGAAATATGTCATCATCAAAATCAGATACTAGAGCGTATCTTACAGTAGAAATCAATGCATGATTACCATAATATGCTTGTATTGACGGATTAAATAATATCTCTTGAATGATTCTTTTACCCTTCATGAATGTACTCATATTAATGTAAAGGCTAAATATCGACAATTGCGTTTTTTATATAATGACTTACCGTAATTGGAAAATGTTCTTTGAACTGACCATGATATACTTCACTAGTAAATTTTAACATCCTTGATTCATCACGTTTAATTCTAACATCTACTGTTGTACTAGTATTTTTCGGCGGTATCCCTTCATCTTTGGCATAAATATCTAATAAAAACTGTTCATCTCCACTATCATAGCTTAATGGTTCTTTTAGTATGATTGAAGCTGACCCATCAGCATCCATCACTAAAGAAAATTTAGCTTGATATTTTGAAGCTGCGATTAAGTAACGAACATCCGAGTTAGGAGTAAATGGCTTGTCTGCATCTAAAGCTCTTATATTTTTTACTACAGTAGTGCCTAAAATAGACAGTTCATTAAAAATGTTAATAGGGCTTTATATTTATAACAAAATATTTTTACCAATAGGTATAGATTCAGAAATCTCAGCGCTGTAAGGTACACCGATGAAGAATGGGTTATTATCATTTATATCATCTATTTGTACAGTTATCATTATTGAAGCATTAGACTGTTAAAAAAGTAAACATTTAAGTTAATTTAAAACATTATAACATTTATTTATTGAATGTTATGAATTAATAATAAATAATAAACTGATTTTAACTTATAAAAAAACTACCATTTTTTTTTATACATTTGTTAGTTTAAATTTAATGAGAAAAATTTATTACTGAATCATCATCGACCCCACACACAAGTTTTACTTTGATTTTGTCTACTGGTTTTGGACGATCTACTAAGTCATCCAACGATTTTGCCAATCTTAATGATATCGTAGTTCTATTAATTGTACGAAATTTAAAATAGGATACATCGTCATTCTAGAAATAAATAAAAAATGTGTTGATAATGTTATTTATTTAATTTTTTAAAATTATATACATTATCTACTGGCTGTAAACTAAGGCTTCGTCTTGGGTACACTTCAACTTGTAACACTTCTGATCCAACCGGTAAATTTTCTGGTAAACGAACAAACCGAAAGTGTTCGTTAATTGGGTAGAATTGACAACCTATGATAATATATATATATATAATGCAAACTTATGTAAAATAAATCAAATTTTATTATTATTACAGTATATTTTCTCTTATTTGAACTTAATAAGACATACCTATATACACATATTTCCAATTAATTATTCATTACAATATTATTTTACAAGACGATCAATACTATTAAAATAAAGTTATTAATAATTACTTTCGCGTGGAATAAATATTAAATTCTAAGGAAATAACTATAAATTATAGTTAGTAATGTGTAGAAAAATTTCATTAAAATTAAATCAAATTTAATTATATTTTTGTGATAAAAGTAATTAAGTGCACATTGAATATTTTGACAATTAAATAAAAAGTATGTTCTATCTGTTTATAAAAACTATCTAATATAACATTCGGTTAATACCATAAATAACATAATTTGACTGATTATTTTTGTATATTTTTAAAAAAAAATTATTAATGCATAATACCAAAAAAAAAAAAATTATGCTCCATTAAAATATTACTTAAAATGGTCACGCATACTTAATACCATAACATATAAATACAATACTTCATCACATAGGCGTTCTCTTATGGGATATAACCCCATGGGGAAAATAAATACATGGTAATGATGTATTTTGGAGGGGTAGTAAAAATACATTTTATGTATTTTGTCACTATTTCAATGACATTTATTGGTCAATGGACTCGATTCAAAAGGAGTGGGATGATTAAAAGATTTAATAATGTTTTATAGTATTAAAATTCTATTTGAAACATTTTTTAAAGACTCTAAACTTCAATAAAAAAAGTTTATATCATTAGTTTGTATACTTAAACAATAATACATATTATGTTTAAAAAAAATTTTTTAACTGAAAATCTATAATTTTCACAAATTACCAGGAAGTCGATAATTAAATAAAATTTAATTTTATTAATTTAGGTTTGTACACTGTACGATTAAATTAGACCTTATAATATTAGTTTTTCTTTATAAACCTGAGATTTTCCCCGTGTTTCCCTAGTGACTGTTACAAATATTTTGATAAGTATGATATAAAAATTTTCAGTAATAGATTGTTATGCCTAAGTAATAAGCTTTTAAATAAGAATTTAAATGTAATCGTTTTATCCTTACTCGAAACTAGAGCGTCTAAACATTATAACGCCAACCGGATTGAAACATGTACGCAGAAACTACAATAATTTATCATATGCAATAACTAGATTACTTTTGTAACATGTGATTTTTTATTTTTTTTTATTATATCATTATTTGAGTACCAAACCACAGTCATAGGTCAAATTACTAGTAAACACAATAACACCTATCATAGAAGCTCCATTGTGGTAAAATGAAAACAATACTCACCTTATTTAATTTATATTCAAACCACAATCACGTTACACAAATCTAGTTTTAGACATGATTTTATAATTATATTACATTACTGCATGATTTTTTAATATGTGAAATGTTCTAGAAACTTTTTTATTAGGGTATTTCCAAAGTGTATTACTGTAATTACTGACAAATGTTATATTTAAATAATATTCTACAAATGAATTATAGAAATGAAGTCGTGAAAAAAAATAATACTGTTAAATAAAAATAAACTTCATCGGATTAAGTCTACAATTTCAAATAATAACTATACTCAGCATTATGTTGGCATTGATTGTAGCTATTTACGCTATTATATCATATAAATAATTTTTACTTCGTCACATCTTTACTCGGAATGATCAACAATATCAATGAACTGCAATTTAAACAATGGAAGCACATATTTCATTTCAAGATACACTCCATTGCGCTATAGTTATTACTAGAAATACCGTCTCATACTCTCGTTAGTAAATTAGTTCTCTTGCAAAACTTAACTTTAGTATAATAACCTACTACGCTTGAGATTGATAAATACGTGATAGGCGCATTAGGTTGATTTTTTATTGTTACTGAAAATTCGAATTCTTTGTTATAGATTATGACATTGGCTTTTAAACATTTTATTAAGTGTCTATCACGTTTGTTACACAACCTCATTCATTTTGGCTTTCAACGTGACACAGTACCCTGTTTCCCTAAGCCGCACATTACGTTATCAACTTATATGAAAGTGTAATGAGATATGAATCTAAAGGTATAGAGGCCTAGTGGTAAGGTTTGTATCTACAACGTCATGGGTCGCGGGTTCTAATATCGTATCGTGTCTGTTTTTTTCATACGATTTCCGTGACACTTTTTATGACCGACCGTCGAACCCTGCGGCCAAGTTAAACGTTTTAACAGATTTACCTTGATCAACTTAATTTGATATTATATCTAATGTAGATGTAAACGATTATATTAAATTCTAATGATCACTACTCTTACTATAGAAATAAGTAATTTAGGTAGGTTAGTTTATGATTTGATGAATTCAATATCATTCTATCAATAAGGAGGCGAAGATAATTCAATAAGTGTATTCAAACACAATTAATGGACTTATAAAGAAAATTAAAAATTAAATTAGATCCACAGTTTCTCTCTCAATAATGTAAAGATAAAAAATATAAACAATATAAATTTCTTCTATACACATCTTCAACTATTAAATTTTTGATAAAATAAATTTTATTTCTCATCTAGTATAACATATTTTATGCTATATTGATAATATTATAATTCAATAATGTTTGCATGCTCAATAATCAGATTTATTTAAAATAAAATTATCCATTATGATAGAATGAAATATGCACAATGTGTAACGGACCAATTTCAATAAACGTTCGTTAGAATAACCGATATTGATACTTGTGTCTATTCACATAACTATCCATTTTCGTACCAAAACATAATTATTTATATAAGTATATATATTTTGCTTTGTACATTTATAAAGATATTGAATATTGCTTCATGTTGTTACGAAAAATTATTTACAGTTTCATTTAGAAAATTGTGTTATAGTAAATAAACATATATGAACAACTGATTTATACATATAAAAAACAACGAATCTAAACTCAACCACTATGTGTAATAATGAAATTAATCCCATAATACTCATAAAAAGTAAACATTTATTTCATTGATTATTCAAAAAAAACTTATAACGGAGACTTGTGATTCTCTTTTCTATATCTATCAAAATTATGAAGAATTAGAATAAACAATTTTTAGTTAAACACCTATTTAACAAATCTTTGTTAAATAGGTGTTTTTAAATTATTTAACCTATAATGATTATGACTCTTTTACCCATAAGAGAAATTTCGACTGCACTACTGATAACTATTCGAGGGTCTAAGCATAAAGAAGTCTATCAACCTACTCCTTACTTTTCAAGAGAGCAATATTAAACTCTTATTTTCCATTTATGTAAATTAAAAAATGTCATTTCATCTTTAAAAAAATACAATATATATATATTGATTAAAAAATATTAAAAAATCTTTTTGTAATATGCTCTGTTATGCTTTAGATCCTCGAATTACAATTTATCATAATTTTTATTCTATAATTTCATAACATGCTTAAAGGTAAGTAAAATTTATTTTATAACACAGTTGAAAAAAAAGTGAATGTATTGTATATAATAACAATGTTTAATACAAATAAAAATTAAACCTAAAAACACATTTTCATTTAATTTATCGATATTTTTAATTGTTTACCTTATATCTTATACCTTACTTATATTAATATAACCTAATATCATTTTATATTAATTTTGTATAAAAACAACGTATTTGTTTGAAAAATCCATAAATGATCGTATTATTTCAAAATTAATATTTTCAAACTGTAACTTTATGAACTTCATAAAAACATCAACTTCAAATAAACTGTCAGTCAAAAATCGATCTTCATCCATCTTTTCTGTAAAAATATGATACGCTTGAGCTACTTCATTTAAAGTCGTGATCGATTTTGATACGTACAAAAAATCTAATTTTTTGGGGAATGTAAGAATGCATCCATAAAATAATGAAGGCATTCTCTCCAAAATTTCTAATACAATTTTAATATGTTTTTCATTAGAAGAAGTTTTGATAAAATATTTATTAGATGCTGTTTGAAATATATTTATGACATTTTTAAAGTGTTCGTCATTTTGTAAACCTAATAAAAGCGAGAACTCATCTAAATATTTTAATAATTTATAATAATGGGAGTGCGTTTTAATAGCTACTCCAACTCGGTTCCATTTTTTAATAGTTGGTTTTTTAGTATGATCCGGTGATGTTAATACTTTGTTAATGTACACCAAATGTTTCCAACATATTTGTAACATAATTATTTTTAACATAGTAATAACTTTAAATTGCATATTTGCAAGATAAGCAACTTTATTATTGAAATCCTTGTTTTTTGTTGCCTTTTTGTAATCTATCTTCAATAACTTTACTGTTTCATCGCAGTTAGAAAGCTCTGCAAATTTAACGAGGAAACTTTTCATTACTTCATCATCTTTTAATATATCATTTAGGTATAGTTGTTTCATGCTAATCAAATCAGTATTAAAATCTACGGTTTTTTTATTAAGAAAAATTCGTTGACTTGTTTCATAGTTGTGATCCTTAATTAAGCTTGCTATTTTATCAAGTTCTAAATTCCCCATCAATGAAATTAAGGCTTTGTAATAGGTTGATTGGACATTGAAATAATTATACTTATTTTGCTCGTCACATTGATTAGTTTTAGTAAAATAAACTAAATATTCGTGTACAAAAGAATAATAATATAAATTGTTTTTTTGGACATCTGTTTTTGGATCCTGCATTGATAAAATAATGTATTCTGAGTAAAAATATATTACCCAAACAACACCTAAAGGTTTGTTTGGTTCAAACCCGTAAAGAGATTCTAACATAAGAGCAGCTACGCGTCCAAAGGATAACACATCATCTGTGTTTAGTTTATTAAAATCAGACTTACTGGTCTTTTCTAAAAGATTTTTAATTAAATTCAAATAGTGAAGTCCATTATAAACATATGTACACCTAAAATTATTTTTAATCAAACAAATCTTTTTTAATAATGTTTCTTTGGAAAATTCGCTTAATTCTTTCAAAGTATTTTGTTTACCATGATCAACACCAACATTCAATTTCAGCAATCTCCAAAACTCTAAATATGCATTTTGATATCCTTTGTCATAAGAAGTTTTCACTTGATTATTTGACCACAATTGAACAAAAATTAACAATACACTTACTTTAAGCAAATACATTTCAGAAACAACTTATTTAGTTATATGTTTTCAAGCAAATAAATATTTTAAGGTGTAAATTGCTTATACAAAACTAACTTTTCAATGTTTTTTTGTCGAATGAAGTATAATAACATTACACGGCAAAATATTGATTTTGATTATTTTATGCTATTAGAAACAAATTTATTGCAAAATTTTATTTTATTTATTATTTCTTTTATTTTTTTATAATGATTTTGAAAATAATATTTGTGTAATAAGTGGTTTGTTTATAATTATAGAATGGATTTCTAGGTTTTAAATACTCCTAAAATATTCATTACTAAATATTCTCGGAAATTTATGTAAAATAAGCTCAAAATATGATCTAAATATTCATATAAACTAATAAAATATTCTCAAAAAATGTTAAAAAATAATATAAAATAAATGATTTTATAAATTCATCATCATTTAAGATACAAAAAGAACTAAAAACGTATAAACAAGTTTTTCTTTGACACTTAACAAAAAAGTTAAATTTTAGTACTAAAGATTTCGGTTTTCAATCAATTAATCATATAATAATATTTTAGACTATAAATTCAATTGTTCAACATATTTTTTGGATGTTACAACAAGAAAAGATTTTTGAAAGCAATTGGACTTATTAAACATTAGGAATGTGATGTTTTGCCTCCAAATCATTTTATAGTATAGTATATATTATTTATAATATATTATTTTATGACATGATTATATTGCTTCAAACTAAAATCTTTAGTGCTCTTAAATTTTTAAAATTGTATATTTGGATGTGTATCTAAGAAAATTGTATATATATTTAAATTAATTTAGTTTATTTAGACTTTTTACATAATGGGGATTTTATAAAAGTTTTTTTTTTTTAATTTTTTTTTTCAATATATTACTTTATACTTTTTAGTATAAACTATTTAATTACATTACAATTATTCAATAAATATGGTCCACTCTTACAGTGAACCGGATTATAATGCTAAGGTTTATGTGTTGAGTGTGTTAATAAAAGGGTTGGATAAAAGTACTCTGTCGTTAACGTACAATCTTGAAGGTACCTGTATATCATCCATTGTGTTGTTTTCTTTATTTTCATAATCCGGTTGGATATATCCCGTTGTCCAAGGTATTACTTTATTTATATGGAATAATATTATAATACATAATATATATTTTGAATTTTAAAGAATACATTTTAAATTATTATGTAGTCTCGTAAACCTTAAGTACACGCAAAATTGCAGTTCAATCCTAAGTTCAAAGATTTGTAGCATTCGGAAAACAGACAAACAACAGGACATGACAAATTAAATAAAAACTTTTAAAAACCAAAAATATTCATTTTTTTTTAACATTTATTTAAATCAAATTATACAATTTTATATGTATATTTTAGTAGTTCTGTGTAAGTTTTTAGTTAAATCTAAAAGTATATATTTCTCATTATGTGAAAAAAAAACTTTGAATTAAATAGTATAATAGGAAACTTCAATACAATTACTACATACTAAATAAAAACTACTATATATTCAATAAAACCAACATATATGTTTCATCACATAAAGTAGTTTATCATTACAGCACACCTTTTTAATTATAGGTGTACAATTAACTTTAAAAAAAATATAAAATTTAAATTCCATAAATATATAAAGATATTTTTAAAATTTTTTTTAAAAATGAAATTATTTTAAAAATTGAACATTTTTTTCACCAACGAGTTATTAAAAAATAATAATAGAAGACTCATAAAATTTACTGTGATTGAACACATTATATAACTTATTCTCGATTTTCATTAATAAATAAAATTGAGTTCTTTTAGTAATTTTTACTTAAATTAATCACACTAATAAAATTAGGACAAATTACTAAAAGAATACAGTAAAAACAAGCTGAAATAGAAAACAAGAGTAGAACTAAATTCAAATCAATTGTTCATTCGTGGCACCGTCATACGTGATTTTTTTAATGATTATAAATGTATACTGTATTATTTTTTAAGTATAATTTTCTAACAATTTTCTAATATATATTTTTTAAACGTTATCAATTTTATTTCATTCAAGTTAATTAGTTTTTTATCATTGACTTTTTTAAAAATACCAAACTCGTAATTTGTAGTTTTCTTTCGTAATTGACTCGCACAAAAATAATTCTATATATATATATACATTTATCTTGTAGATACAATTATTTAATTTATTTTAACACATTGTCATAGAGTATGAAAAACTCTCAATGACGATATAATTTACTCTCAGTTAGTGATACTAATAAACACAAAAACCAGAATCACATTAATTTCGGCTAGTTCTTTTTTTGCTATTTTTTATCCTATGTTTTACTGCGCTTTATTATGTTGTATTGTAACAGAACTAGATTGATTTACCGCTCAGTAAATTTAATATTGGTCATGGTGAATCAATTACTGCTATAAGTATTGACACCCTGAAATAAGTATTTGTCTGGACAACTCGTTACGCCTTAATTAAATTGTCTCTTCTTTATAACCTAAATATAATAATTATGATGTTGGCGAACTGGGTCATAATCTAATACTGAGTATATACAATACTAACTGATCAATATATATATTTTTTATTGAAAATTTGGGTATTTTAAGTACATAATGTAAATTATTAGAGTTTAGTTCTGTTCTAGATAAAATCGCATAAAATGTAAATTTTTTTATTTTATTCTAAAGACAAGGTTAAAAAAATTCATTCGGATATTTTTCCAATCACATCATAATCATTGGATTTTTTTGAATAGCAAATAGTTGTAAGAAATGACTTAACATTATACATTTTTATTAATTTGATATTATTAGTTTTAAATAAGGAAACTTTTATTATGATTTACCTAATTAACCTAATTTCGGTTTTGTAAGACTAAAAAATAATTGTTCTACAAATATATTAAATCACACACTTGGGTATGATTTTCTGTACACCTTTACTTAATATTATAATATTTTTTGAAGGTTCAGCTCCAAGTGATTATACCAACACTTTAACAGTGACACACACCTTGCCCCTATACTAGTTTAGTATAGTAATAATGCGCCCATAATGAGGTCGCGTCAAGTATACAGGAGGTGTAAAAAACCTGTAAAAATCACAAGATACAGTCGACCTCAAACAGTTGGGATAAAGCATAAAGAGATGATGATAATGAAATTATACACAGAAAAACCGCCATCAATTAATATAAATTATCAAAAGAATTTTTTTTCTAAAAATATAAACTTGAAAAAAAGATTTTTAATTGTTTTCTAGGAGATGGCTGTTTTACCTTAATTAAAAAAAAAAATAAGAATAAAAGTTTTTATTTACTTGGAAATATTTATTGGATAGTTTAACTAAAGCTTTTTAGAAAGAACAGTTTTATAAGATGCATATTCCAATGAAGTCTGTATAGTCTTTTGAAAACTCAATAAATGATTTGATTATTTCAAAATTGATGCCTTCAAGATGTTTGTTCATGTAACTCAAAAACACTTTAAATCCGTATGAAGAAAAAGTCATGTTACTATATTTATGTAATTTTTTCAAATCTATTTGATTTTTTTCGGCTATTTCACTCGACGTTGCTATTGATTTCATTGTATATGGAATATCGAGATTTTTGGGAATAGAAATTTGACATTTATAAAACGATGGAGCAATTTTAAATATAACGTTTAGTACAGTTTTAATATGTTCATCATTTTGAGTGGACGTAATTACCACATTTGTCAATGCCAATTTTAATAAATCTTTTATACGACTCAAATGTTCGTCATTCTGTAAATTTGTTTTAGAAAAAAATTGGTCTAAATATTGTAACATTTTATTATAATAGGAGTGCGTTTTAATAGCTACTCCAATTCGATTCCATTTAATAAGCAATGTTTTTTTAATGTGATTTGAATATGTCAATTTTTTGTTAATGTACACTAAATGTTTCCAACATAATTGGAGTATTATAATTTTTAACATTACAATGAATTTTGTTTGTATTTTTCCAAGGTGTGTGACTTTTTTATTAAAATCAATGTTTTGTTTTGCTTTTTCATAGTCTTCTCTCATTTTGCTTAAAACTGTATTCCAATTGTTAAGTTCTGCGAAACTTTTAAGAAAAATTTCCATAATTTCATCATTTTCTATTACTCTGTTTAAATATAAATTTACCATGCTGAACAAGTGATAATCAAAGCTATATTTTGTTTTATTCCAGATTATCCGATCTTTTGTTTGAGATTTATGATTTCTAATTAATTTTATAATACTTTCATTACTACTTTGATTTACTTTGATATTTAATAAGTCTTTGTAATATGCTGTTTGGTCATTCATGTCATTGTATATATTAGTCTTATCACAAGCATTTTTATCGATAAGATTTAGTAAATAATCTTCCGTAGACTGTAAGTATGGCATTATGTTTTCTTGTATACTTGTATCAATCTCTTTCATTGATAAATTAATAAACTCGGAAAAAAAATATATAATCCATGCTTCACCAATAAATTTGTATGATTCATAACCAACTAAGGATTCTATCATCAGAACAGATTCTTGTACAAACGAAAGTTCGTTTTTTCTATTAAGTTTATTGTAATCGGACTTACTAAAATTTTCGAAAAAGCTTCGAATTAAATGCACAAAATGATGCCCGTTAAAAAAATAACAGCATTTAAATGAATTTCTAATCAATGCTAACTTTACTATAAGTGTTTCTTTAGAAAAACTTTTCCACGTACTAATAGTTAATGTCCTTCCGTAATCAACACCAACATCCAACTGCGCGAGAAAATAATACTTCCAAAAAACATCATTATAACTTTCATTTCCTATAGTTTTGAAAAATACAGTCTCTACTTGATATATCGACCATAATTGAATAATTATCAACAATAAAGATAACTTGAGCAAGTACATTTTTGTTGTAAGCTATTAAAACAAATTTTACAAGAGTTTTTTTAAAAAATTATTAGTTTTTAAAGTTAAATATACTTTTGAAAACTTTGAATAAATATTAAGCCTTTTAATTGTCATGACTTATTAATTATTATATGTCAAAGATAACACGAAATAAAAAGAATAACGTATTTCTATTATTCTCTTATATTATATACATATAAGTATTTAGTATATTTATCTTCATTGAATTAAAATTTAAACTGTCTAAAATATGATTTATAATCTAATACTTAATCTATTACCTAAATTAAATTTAAAAATAAATTGATTGGTAAATATATCATTTTTAGTCAATTTAGATGTTCTTAAATAAGTATTCTCGTTATGGTTGATATAATTATCATTTCAATATTTTAATTAAATACAAATTTGAAACATTCTATAATGTTTTAGCGATATTTTATAGACAGAAAAAGAATTAATTTATGATAAATGAATCACCTATATATTTATATTCTTGTAATTAATGTTATAGAATAAAATTCGATTTCTAGCTGAATTAAAAAAAAAATAGATTCACCAATAAAATAATTAATAGTTGAATTAATATAATATTAAATAGTAGCTATTTGATTGGGTAAAAAAAAATTGTTTTTAGTTTAAATGTGAGCTGATGCTATAGACGTATGCCTTTATTAATGTTCTTTTTTTATTGAGTGCAGTAATACTGATATTCATGTTAGTAATGGTATGACTACCATGTCCTTAAAATAAAAATTACTGTCGCAGACTAACAAACAGAAAAACATTTTAAATATGTATAAAATATTTCCAAATATACATCGTAACAGTTCATTTCAAATATTAAATTTCGATTTAAAAATTATTTATTCAACTTTTCAGGAATATATTCAATATACTTAAAATGAATAATAATAAACCTAATAACAATAGTTATCTTTACAATGAATTGTAAATGTGTTTAAGTTAAATCTAAAAACTACAATTCATTGAAAAGCACATAAATACTATATAAGACTACATTTGTAATAGATTCAATATAACATCGAAAAATTATTGTTAGAGCCAAGTAAACAATTGAGTCGCAGAATGAATATTTAATTTTTTATTCACCTTGGTCTTAGTATATTCTTGAGAAAATTTCATGGTAGCTTTTAATATGTAAAATACATAAAAGTAGGACAGAAAGATGAAATCACTTATAACTATGATTAAATGGTATGATAATAATATGTTAAAGAGTAGTTTTGTTTTTATAATAATAAATTAAAAAGTGAAGTTCTCTAAACGTACATCATTTCCATGGGCAATTTAATTAAAAAAGCCAATTCAAATTTTATAAATGCATGCACTATATTTATTAAATTTACTTTGTAATTAAAGAAAATACGTTGGAAAATTCAAATGTAACATATAATATTATTTTGTAGAAATAGAATCATAATCATAATAACGTTTTTTGTTAAAACTTAAAAATACATAATGTAAATAGAATAAAAGGTGTTAATACAGACGTCATTCGTGTATAACAGGAGTTATTATTTGTTTATTAAATTTGAATGTTAATAAAGGTCGTTATAGCAGAATGATTTGAAAAAAAAATGGACAAGTCTAAAAAGTAACTTGTGACTTTTTAAATTGTACTGAGAATAATGTATGTATATTACTAAAAATGTTATAAAATAATAATTTATTTTATTATATATTTATAATATTATTAAATAATTTATTAAGGAAACACTAACATTATATAGAAAATAGCGATTTTATAAATTTATGGTAAATTATTAGTAAAAGCAATGATTAGTCTTTGAACACAATACTAGTTTATTATCGCGGATTACAAACATAATCGATATACAGAGTGGCCCAGCACTCACTTAAATAACTTTTGATCCAGTTAATATTTTTAGCTGATTTTTTCTTTAAATAATAGTTATACGTTATGTATATAATTCTATCTTAATAATTTATTATTTTATATTTTATTAAAAATATAAATTATTTTTAAATTTTAAATAAAAATTAAAAAAAAAAATTAAGATAGCTATTTTATTGAGTAGATTTTAAGAAAAATTTTGGTAAAAAAATATCTTATTAATATTCAGTAGTAAATATTCTGTAGCATTTTAAAGTTTGTGAAAATTTGAATTTTCAGATATTATTTGCGGTATTAAACATTAAAATACATGTTGTGAAAAGGACAGGAGAAAATACTATCTATTCATGATGACTATAATTTGGAGGTGTAACTTTTTCCATAAAAATTAATTGATTACACATTTGAATGAGAGTGATTTATCTCTTTAAAGATAAAACTACTTATTAAGTAATAGGTATTGTTCGTGTTTTTATTTGAATTAAAGCCGGTCATTAGAATGTTTACAATTTTCATGGAAAAATCTATACTCATATTATATTTAGTGTGAAAAGATTGTGTTTACTTCTGTCCTTTTTTGTAAAACATAGCCATTTGATACCGTAGAATAAATACAGAAACATTCGAATTTTCACAAAATTTAAAATGTTACAGAAAATTAACTACAAAACATTAATGAGAAATTTTTTCAACAAATTGTTCTAAAAAATTACTCTTATGAATTTTTTTTAAACATATCTCGTACATTTTTAAAATAATAATTTTTTTATTTAATTATAAAAATGATATTTATTACATTATTATTATAGCCATAAGTATATTAAATATTACAAAAAAATTAGCAAAAAATTTTAACTGGATCATAATTTATTTAAGTTGTCAGTAAGTGCTGGGCCACTCTGTATATTATCCATGAAATGACAACTTCAGTGCGCGATTCACTATATTATCAAAATAATACCTTGTTAAGAGAACTATAATGAAAAGAGAAATCAATGAGAATGTATTATCCAAAGTTATAATGACAATTCTAAATCAAATTAACATATATTTATTAAATATTCGAGTAAAAGATAATATAGATAGATGGTCTTAGTTCGGCAATATAACTCAGTAATAAGCCATGCAAAACAGGCATAGATTTGGACGCATTATTAGCTACACAATGGTATACGAGTTAATTAGTAATTTATATAAAAAACGAGGCGTTAAAGGATTTTCAAATGTTATGGTCGTTATTCAATATAAATTAAATTTAGGCATTATTATAGTAATAAGTATTATCATAATAAAGTATATCCTGTAAACAAATTCAATATGTTCACATAGAGTCTCACACTAAAGCTGAATTCTTACCATTAATATGAGTAGAACAAGTGATAGCTAATATCAGTATAAATAAGGAAACGACTGGTAGGTTCATCCTCGAGAACCTCATCTGAAAAATAAAACAAAATAATTAGTAATGAAACTTAAATTTAATTATTTTAAAACAATGTATAAAATCTTATCAATCTTTTACTTTATCTTTTTTTTTAAATTATTAATAGATTGGTACTTTTAAAAAATTCATGTTTTTATCATACAAGAAATATATTTTTTTTAATCATCCAATTACTTAGCTACAAAAAAAATTTAACAATGCCTAATTTTAGTAATTAATTACAGTAATGAGTGTCTTTGTTAAGTATTGTTATTAAATAAGGTATGTAAGTAGTCATCATGGTAGTTAAGGTCCATTCAGAGAAAGTAAGATATAGAAATATTACAAGATGTTGTTTTTCTAACGACTCATTTCGTTCCGAAAAACCCCCAAATGTTTCAATGCATATAAACTTGTGTTATAATAACCCATTGACATGCGTAACGGCGCCTAGTCTTTTTGATAATATAAGATGGGGAAAGGGCATGTGAAAAGTGAAATTCAAATGAAAATTTTATTGAAAATTATTTTTTATACTAGCCATTGAATTCTTTTTGGGGGAAAAAATCCTAATTATCTAACATTTCTAATTAACTCGTGCATTTAAATATATTGACGGCATGTCATTATATTTGTTAACCTATTCATATGGTTACACTGCTCATATACAGTAGCAAAAGTACCAAGGCGTTTAAGTGTTTAAATGTTCACACATTTATATATAATTAAAACTGCATAATGAAGCATTTACTGAACGTTTATGTGTTACATTTTATATTTTTTAATAATTAATGTTTAAATTATTTAATTTAAAATTTAATACTGATATTGTTTAAAAGTTATATATGAAAATGTTAAGTTGACTTTTTGAGGATAAATACAAAGAACGATTGCAAAACATGCTAATAAAAAATAAATGAGGTTTATAAAAATGAAAAATAAAAACCAGTTTTATTTTAAACTTCTAAATTTAATACAGTTTGTTAGTTATAAGGTTGGTTATTAGTGGTCAACTATCCGGTATTTTTTTATATTATGAGATATTTTATTGTTTTATAAACTTGTGTAACATAACAAATTTTAACGGTTAATTATTTTGGTAAACATTTTAAAAACAAGTTTTTATTTTATTTTACAAATATTGTTCAAAATTTTGGTCTATTTCATTCCAACATTTTTAGTAAGAAATACATTTAAAATATTTTAAGTATAAGTACGACAATAAAATACACAAATTAAACTATTTTTCTAATTCGATATTTTCCCTTTTTTTATAGTCATATGTAAATTATTCGTTAAAATAACCACATCTTAATATTAAGTTTCTTTTAATTTAAAAATCATTGAAGAAAAAAATAATAGAAAATATCTGTTATAATTATTATAATTAATAATTAACTAATAATTATTAGTCGTGAGCTGCATGGATCTTTGTGGTAATTGTAGCAAACAAAAGTACTTAAGAAGAAATTGGTCGTCATATTTCTTGGATCATATAAAAACTGTTATTTTGTTTATCTAACATTATAGTCATAATGCATACATATATGTGTGTGTTTTTCACTTTTATTTTATTTCAGGATTATAAAAAAATATCCATAAATATTTTCGAATTAAATATAACATTAGTTAGATTTAATATCTTATTAAATGATCAATAAACAAATATCATATATATATATATATAAATAATAGTTTTGTTTAATTAAGTGTTTAATGAAGCATGCATTTCATATTAATAAGATTTAAAAATGTACTCGCATAATAAAAATCAATTACATTGGAAATAGAGATGAAATGATACTATAATATAGTCTCGTTAAATTAAATAACAACGGTCAAGGAAATGTTCTTAGTTCTTTTTAATTGAAACTCATGTAATATCCGTCATAAGTCTTACATATATTTACTAATTGCATTATGTTTGAGTTATATAAAAAATTTCAATGATTTGTTGTACCGCATATTAGTTTGATTGATTCAAAAGTAAAAAATACAATTTTATGGTACAATTATCTATTGAATATTGACAAACAGAAAAATTGCATTTATCGTTAAAAAGAAGCAATTCATGTAATACTATTATGCATAATAGTGACATTGTTCAATAATCTTTTACACAAATAGTTGTTCAACATTCAAAATATTCTTTAGTTACAGTTTTTACTTTACAGAATATTATAACAATAATTTCAACTGAAAACTATTGATAAATAAATAACAAATACAATTAATAAAACATTACTTTTCGGTCAGTGATTACATAAATTTTAATAACAGTAACCAGAATAATTAATTTAGTATTGAATCGCATTGAAAAACTTGGGTTATGTCTTTAAAAAATAAAATCAATTTATTTGAAAAGAATATTTTTGTATCTCAATAGAAATGATAATACACGTAAAAACAATTATTCGTGGTTTTTATTATTTAAAAATTAGTTTTAACCTATATTTCCTGCAATTATACGTATCTCAAAATTTGACACAATGACATTTTTTTCAATACTGATAAAAAATGATACATTTTTTTTCTATTTAAATTTTTGTGAGACTCATAGTTTTATTATACAATGAAAGATTATTTTAATAGACCTTTTATATGACAAATACCTCTATTAAACGGAAATATTCTAAGGTCAGGTTTTTTACAAGTTAAAATTAACCTCCATTGAACAAAAACCTCTCAATTAAAAAAAATTTGGTTCGCGACATGTCCGTTGATAAGAGATTTCACTGTAGTTATAAAAATAAAATCACCCCTTGTGTTAAAACGCATGTAATTCAAAACTATTGTTTAATCATTCTGAAAACTTAAAAAAACTGAGATAAACAATTGCAGTATAAATGATGATATGTTACAAGTAAGTATTATTTATTAAAGTATCTAATGTGAAATTCTTTGTTTTAGATTAATGAAAATTATATACACATTATTTACAGATAAAGGAAGATATTTCAATTTAAAAATATTGTACAACTTTTTTATAGTAAGAAATGTCCAATTTTTCATGCTGCAATTTAAAGTCATTTTAAGTCTAGTACAGTTTGTAATCTTACTAGCTACGGACAATTTTAATTTTAGTGATTATTTTATTTTCTTGAGATAATTAAATATTAATGTGAATACAAGTGAGTTTACTGTTTTATCTAGAAATATTTAATTCAATATTTCCGAAACTGCTTACTTATTTAAACATTTTTTTGAAAAATAAATGAAAATGTTATCTTTAGTGTATTATTGACGTAATATTTCTTGCAACTCATAAATTATTAGTATTATGGAAAACCAAATTTTGTGTATTGACTTTTTTTTTTGTACACTTATGTACACCACATATAAAAAATATAAAGAAAGAGGAAATAAATTTATCACGCTAAATTATAGTTAAAACAGAACCACAGTCAATTCACAATAGCTCTTTTATCGTCTATCGATATCCGGAGAAATTCCGTACAATATCTTATAATCTTAAAACTATCTATAAACGTCGATGTCATCTTGTTAAATGTTAATAATTGGGCTTCTTTTTATGTCCAATCTGTTGAATAATAGAATAGATTAGTAGTAAACGATGATAATGTAATACTTTTACTAGAATTAAAAACAAAATTGTTGACATTCCCGGAAAATGGTAGAACCGTGACCAGTGCTGTTATTTTTTATTCATGTTCTTCAAACTTCAAATTTGCGTAAAGTATTTTTGAGTAGTACAACCCACGAGCTATACAGCAAAGGTGGTATAATCTTTGATATTCGGAATGATTAAATACACATAAGTTTCAAGTTTTTATTTTATTTTGTAATACTATTGTGTACTTAAGAATTCAGGTCATTTCATCAGCAACGCACGAAATATCAAGTTCAAAGCCGAAAATTCATACGGCGACTCGCTCCGTTTCTTTGATGTAATTTAAATCGTTTATGGCAATCAAGAGATTAATATACAAAATACAATCTTGCTCCGGTGTGTAAACACGTTGGGACACAAAAATAAACTTATCTCGCAGAAAATTATTTTAATAAAATTAGAAAACTCTAAGTTAATACATAATATATTTATATATTGGATGAATACGAACTAATGATGAGTAAAATAAAATAACCATTTACTTTTTCTTTATTCAATTCAATGGTGCAGTATGTTAATAAAAAAGATGCGCATCGCTGTTGTCAACTGGGTCACTTGGATAATGTAGTGGTGTACTTGATGTTGTCGCTATACTGTCCTGTACACATACCCGTTTAGTAAAATATCTACTGTTGCAGTCCTTAAGATCTCTGTCCTGCAATATTCAAGATCGCTTTCTCTCATGCAAGTATTTTATTTTTTGGGTAAATAACCAATAGCTCCGGGAATCATCTGATACTACAGCTCTTATGTTTTCCGTAAAGCATACATTTATTCTACAAACGATGTAAAATCAAAATATTCATTGAATTCACTTTCAGAATGCGTCACGCCAGTCAGAAAAACAGCATCCGCATTATAGCGTATGTGATTATCGTTGATGGTCAGTCAACATACAATGCTACTAAATTATCTGCTATCTACTTAATACAGTAATACTTTTTATGTGAAGATCATTGACTATAACTATGAAGAGCTGATTCAAATTACTTGACTAGGCTTAATTTGAAAAACTACGTAGTGTAGAGATGACAATTCAAAAATATCTTTTTGATGGTCTTAATGCTTATACTAAATTACCATAAAACACTATTGTATTGAAAATAAAACTTTCTTATTATATATTATAATTCTTAATAATTAATTTCTCTTATTATAAGTTTATTATTTGTCACACAATATAATTAGTTATTTTATAATTTACGAATATTTCACTTTTAAATTATATTATTTTCTACTTATTACAAGTTGCCAAACAGGTTGTTCCTAGACTAAGGAGTTTTTTTTTTGTTGAATTATGCGCAATTTTATCCATATTTGTCTTATTCATTTCATTTTTGTCTTCACTCAAATAAAATATACTGTATTAAAAATAATTTAATATTATTTTGAAAAAAAAATAATATCGTAATTATAAATATTACTTTGTTGCATCAATTTTCATACATTACTATAGTAATGAATTTTGTGTTTGTATGATATAACTTAAAACTTATATATTAATTAGATATTAAATGATAATTAATGGAATAAATATAATGCATTATTTTGTATAAAACCATCTGAGAAAACTTTTGTCGTGTGACAAGCGAGACATTTGTTTACCATTAAAAATATCATAAAAAAAATGTTTATAGTAATAATTGTTTTATTGAACTTATATCAAATGTTTTTACTTACAAACGAATATTTTTAGAAGTACGATAAATTCAATTTACTACAAAGGTGTGGGTACAAAGGGGGTAAAATTAATTACTATTGATATATATGTTTTTAATATACACCTCAATGTTAGATACAAATTATGTAATTTAGCATAAATATAGGTGTAACAAGAAAATATTTCTGGGGTGTTTAAAAGAATTGTGACTTAGAAAATTGTGGGGGGCTACGACCCTCACGTTTCCATATTAGTATCGATAAAATGGGTATGTTCAATAAATACAAAAATTACAAACATTATACAATGTAATGTCATGATTATCGTTATCTGCACACGTATATAAATACATTTAAGACGTCTATAATTTTACAGCAAATACAACTACTTTGTGTGAAATATTCTAAAGTTATAAATTCAAAAATAATAAAATAAAAATATTTACAACATTAATTTGTACGACCAAAGAAAGAATGCGTTCTAATTTTTTGGAAGGTGCTAATGTTGAGTTTACGGATGCTCAAATTTCTCTAGATGCACTTATGGAAATAAATAATCGAAAATTACTACACAAATATAAAATTTTGATCAAAAACCAAGTTTTTCCTAATATTGTATATGTTAAAAATTTCCAGTACATGTATGTGAATATTCGGATATTTTTTTTTAAAGATAGATTTTTAAAAACTCAATGTAGTGAAAAATTATTAAAATGATGATTAACTATGATTAAAATAGTACTAATGGCAAATTGTTAAACATTTAATAAACGGAATATTCATTATTTATCTATAAAATTAAATGAACTTACATGAAAACAATAATTGTTATACAGAATATTTTATTATTAATTATTTAATAACAACAATAAATACAATGGAATATTATTCAGAATTGGTTCCTACCTGTCAAAAAAGAAGTGATAAGATAAAAGTTAAAAAATTATTATTTGTGTATTCATAAATAGTTCAAATTATAGACTTTTAAAAAAACCTGTAAGATACAGTTAACATTTATTATTCCAACAGTGAGGTCCCGCAGAGACTTAAATGAGGCTAGTACGAAATGCAATTATCCATTATAATAGAACAAAAATATATTAGATGGTAAAAATTACTTTTGACTCTAATTAAATCTAAGTAAGTGACAAGTAATAAATTGAAACTTCAATACTGTAGTCACCATTAAAACTATTTATTTCACCTACTAAGCCTAGTAATAAAATTATTTTCGAGTAGCATTCAATATTTTATCATTATTTTAAGTTGTTGTATTTGTTGTCTGCTTAATAAACATAATTATTCAAATATTAGTTGACTAAGGACTACTTATTTAAGGGTACTGAACTATTTGGATTAAGTTGTTTGAAAAAATTGTATAATAACGGTTTTATAGATTACCATTAGAAAATATTAACTCTTCCAGAACATTTAGAACGTTTCGCACTATAGATTTCTTGCATTTCTAATCTACAATTAAAAAGTGAGTAAACGTAAACACTGAAAAAAGTTTGAAGTAAACACCAATAAATCTGTAACCTTTTGATAATCGTAGAGCATAAAAACTTTTATAGAATAACTAATTTTTATAATTATATCAAAATAATTTGTAATATAAATTATTGATCTTAAATAATTTACAAGTTAAATAATATTTTGGTACTACTTAAATAATTAATCACTACTAAATATATATAATATAGTAATTACAAATAATTACTTATCATAAACTATAATTATTATCATCTTAGTTATAAGTCTTAGATTTTTAGACTAGACATTAGATTTAATATGTTTTAATAGTTGAAGATAATATGTATTTTTATTTTTGTAAGAAAAGTTTTAAACTGTAATAGTTTGTTTAATTAAAAAAATTATTATTTGACTTATTTCACAAAAGAAAAATTTATATGGTATCAAATTATTTAACATTTTAAGACTATGTTGGTACATATAATTCAAGATTCAAGTAATTAAACTCATTTATGCTTTTAACCATTATCAGTTTTAAACTTCTCGACTCAACATATCAATATTTTGTGAATGTTTTGAATTCATGAATTAAAAATTGAATGAACGTTTATTTAAAGTATCTATGCGTCGATATAAAATGTTCGTGAAAAAAGGTGTTTTATAAAATGTAACTTTAAAATGCTGCATTTATCAAAAATTAATATTTTACTATGTAATTTCTGTTTGAATAATAATTATTTAATAACAAATTTTATAAATAATAAAAAAATGCCTTTTTTTTATTTTTAAATGTAATATTTTTTAATGTTTTATTAAAAAAAAAGTTGTACTTACAAACTACTATGATATGTATAAAGTTAAATTCCTTATTTTCTAAATAGGGCAAAAATAAAACAAAACTCGGTTATAATTTTTAAGAAAAAAACGGCAAAATTTACACACGCACATGTCACATGTTTACGGAAATCATTTATGTTTACCGCGCGTCGTTCGGTGGTCGTCGGCAGTGGACTGCTAGTCTGCCGGTATGTCTTTCGAGGCTGATAGTTCAGCAACAGTTACGTTTACTTTAGAAGGGAACACTGGAAAAGTAATCGGAGGTGGCAGCCATCTGAAGATACGTCGACGGGTATCTTGTTTGATCTTCTTCGATGCCGTTTTAAGACTAATCAATTATCGCTGGTAATTCTAAACAATAGACTGTGATATACTTGGGACGTCGTTATGTCTTAACAAATAACTTCATTACTAAAAATATATCATCCGGAACGTCATTCTTTCGCGGTGTTTACATTATCTGAAGATTGTTTTGGCGGATTACAGTGTTTCCTGAATAAATTATCATCCGTATAATATAATGTCACGTTATAAAACCGTTCTTTTTTTGGTGAAATTAAACGTCATTTTCCAGAAAGACCAAGAAATCGTTTAGGACATAGAATTTAGTAGACACGTCATGTTAAATTTTTAGACCATACAATCGTATTCTAATATTGTTTTAGACACGACAGTTAAACATTAAGAGTATTTAAAACATTTACAGTTTATCTAAGCAGTTCTAAAATTATATGAGTTTACTAGAAATTTAAATTATTCCTTCGGCACTTATAAACATCAATAATAAAATTAAAATACGGTGAAAAATTATTATTCGACAGTTGAGTTGTATTTAAATATAACCTGAAGCTAAACGCTATTTCAGTAATTGGTTTAAACAAAAACAATCCTTAAGATACTTTCTTTAGTTGAGTAATCATAGGTGTGAAAATTATAATTGAAAGAGTTTCGCATGTTAAAAAATTATAATGTACCGTTTGATATATAATTACTTAAAATAAATGTCAATTCCCAAACTCAATCTGATTTCTTTTACGTTGAGAGTTTAATCAGTATTATGTGTGAAGAAATTTTTTCTAAGTAAATATATTTAGTTTAGTTAATTAAACTAAATACTATATCTACTGTATCAATTTAGTTTTACATACATAAACTTCTAAAATTGTTGCTAATTTTCATTTATTTATTAATTTAATTATAAAGTTTCACGGATATAATTCACGTTGAATATTAGTCGATAAAAGGGAATAAAAGAGAAAAACTCGGTTTTCCTTTTATAGGCTACAGCTATACAGCTGATCAATTAAATAATATTGCTGTTAGGAATAATGATAACTAATGATTAAAATCACAAAAAAATCAATAATTTCTGAACAAGTAGGTGCTCGTGTTTATACAATTAAACTCATTCATTTTAATATAAATAAAAAACTTTAATATAATTTAAAAAATCCTTATTTTTTTATTATTAAATGTTATTTATTTATTCAAATTGATAGTAAAATATTGCACTGATATATTTTCATAGAACATACTTTCTAAATCTGTATGTGTGTTTTGAAAATATTTAATTGAAATATTAAATTAGTATGATTATTCATTAAATGATAAAATTGTCAAAACATATTCTTTAAAATTTTTTTTATAAATTATTGAACTTTTTAACTATTGAAGGTTATGGATGGAAATAAACGAATAATATTTTAATTACGATATCCGTGTAATGAAATGTTTAAATTACATTAATAAACAGATAATTTCAATTTCAAGTATAGTATCTTTTAAACATATTGATATTCAGATATAGACTTTCCAAAAATCAAATTATTAAATCGATATAATGCACACACTTTTAATCGTTAACAAACACTGTTTTAGCAAGTACCTATAAGCACAATTAGCGTGAGCGTATTTTTACATATCCCATTTGAAAAATTAAAATTCTTCATACTGTAGTAAGATTGGTGAACAGTTATCCAACTGGTTTTTGACCGTTGACCATACTGCTTGAAGGTAAAGAAGACTCGAAAGATTAGCTATGTGGTCCATGTTTTATCGTGTAATTATTACATTTCATTATATTTCAGAAAAATTGCCGATAGCATAATTTATAGTAATCAAAAGAAAGTCCTATGGAAATTTATACATTTATAAAAACAGATGCCTTGTATAGTTTTCTAAATTCATTTGAATAAATTGTGTAAATAAAAAAAATAACGTTATCTTTATTCCGTACTAGGTCGCTAGAAAGTTCAGTGAAAAAATTGGCGCCGATCAGTAGTATAGCTTTTAGTACATTTCATTTCATTTCATTTCATAGACTATACTAACTTTAAATTATCCAGTTATTCTCTGTAATAACACGAATGAATTAAAATCATATATCAAGTTCTTACTTTGAGTGAAAACTAAATTTTACAGTAGCTAATAAGATATAAAGTGACACAAAATGAATAACAAATATTTCAATTTTGTTTACATGTAAATACATTATGATTTTCGTAGTATTGAAATTACAAAAATCATAACTTTCTAGCACATACATTACTTTTTCACTAATGACTAAAAACTACATTTTCTGAGCAAAACATGAATGATAAATTATCGTAAAAATTATTATTTCATAGCCAATGGATAAGAGTTATTTTTAAAACAGAATAGTTTTACTTAATGAGTGTATATTTGACCTTTTCATCTTACAATGACTTAATAAATATATTATAGCGACGTTAATGAATAATTCTACAGCACAACTATTTTTTACTAAAAAATAAGAACTAAAACTCGGATTTAAATATTAAGAAACTTTAAAAAAAAAATTGTAAATAATAAAATGGCTGTTGTCATGATTCAAAATATTTATTGGTTTTTATCAAACTTTATGAGGTGAATATTTTGTTAATGAGTAAGTATTTTCCTTAAAAAAATCAATTGATAGTAATTCTAATTAAATAAATACGAAGTAAGATTATTGAAAATTCTAAAACTTTTGACATTTTCATTTATTTTAATCTAAAGAACTAAAGAATATATTAAAGAACTGTAAAAAATGTTGAAGAAAGCATTGTATCGTATTTTAATTTAACTTCTCTCTCGTAAAATGATTTACAATATAATAAATGAATTAATTTGTAGGCAAATATTATTGTTACAGTTGGAGCCAGATTTATGTGAAATTATAAATTTTATTGAGTTATTCCGAAAACTTCATATTCAGTACAAACTTTTTGATTAATTCTCAAGAAAACGTAGTAATATTTTTTTATTAATATCATTATTATTTTTTATCTAGAATTTGCATATATTATGTATTTCAATAAAAGGTATTTATTGCTGTAGAATTATTAATTATCGTCGTTATAGTATAAATATTGAGTCACCGTAAGATGGAGATGTTAAATACACTCATTAGACACAAATATCCTGTTTTAAAAATAACTTACATCCATTTAAAAACTATTTTTCAGTTATGTATAATATGTAAAGACAACCGCCACCTTCTATAGCATGTTTAGTTCGGGAAATAAAAGGATATAAAACTGATCATATCATAAAAACTAAAAAATTACTAAAAATTTCACGAATTTTAATCCTAATTTTTTAATACAATAACGAAGAAAAAAATGTGTTTGTAAGAATTAACATTAGAATTTAAAATTATAATTATTTTACAAGTATGAACGTAATACTGAATGTAATGAACGTAACAAAGTTTTTGTATTTCTGATGTTTAGAATTTTATATTATTTTTTAATTAAATAAATATTCTTATATTTCCAGATTCAACATTTTAAAAACTTGTGATTTAATAATAAATTGTTACTTACAATTATGTGAAATTCATTAGGTACTTCATGTAGAAATTGAATTAGATTGATTCAAGTTTAAACTTTTGTTAGTGCTAGCTTAACATTTCTTGATTTGTTCAAAAGTTGTGATGATGTTTTATTTGTACAATATACAAATAATATGAAATACCATTGTAAACAGGTAGTAAACAATCAGTGCAAATACAAACAACATAATTATTGTAATTTAATTTAAACACAAGGTAACTAGTTTCTTAATTTCTATTTAAAATCTAATTATGTTAAAAAAACTTGTTACATATTAAATCAATGATTTCTCGTTACGTTTTAAATAGAAAATTATCTAAGCATAGTTCAGCATATAGTTGAGCAGAAGAACAAAAAGGAAAATTTTTCTCTGTAATTTTGCTTTTTATTTATATATTAGTTTAAAACCAGATAAAAATAAGTAAAATTAAAAAAAAAACCCCGATGATTTAATTATATTATTATCATATAAAAATAGAAATATTTCACATAATTATCAAAATAATAAAACCCATCCCTCTGTATTATAAAAAAAAAATGTATTGTATTCATTTTAAAAGTTCGGTTTTTAATTTAAGTTATTTTCCAGTTCGAAAATATCCTAATAGAAATTATCTTTTTAATACCTGAGTGAATATTTTGTATTATACATTTTAATATTGTAGATAATTTTTTCTTTATTAATGTATTTCATTCGCCAAATCTTTTAAATTTTTAAATAGTTAATAAGAGTCGATTAATCATTTTTTTTTTTTAAATTTTAACTAATACTACTAATAATTCGTAAAAGCAAATATTATTTCGATATATCCAATTTTTTAGTATTGAGTAGGGTTGGGCCAATATCACTTTTTCTGATTATTCGATATTTACTGCCCATACTACACCAAAAAAATTATCAAAAATTATATACTACAATAAATAAAATTTCAAAAAATACGCCACTTCTCAGCACAAAAATCAAACAGAACCTTCAGAATACATCTTTATATATATATATTGAGGTCTCACAGCACATTATGTACATCAATGTTTTCAAAAAATGTACAAATTTTATACTGATAAGAAATATTACAAGTTGTAAAACCTCTTAATAATTTATCTCAAAATGATTACACAAAAACAAAATAAAAAAATCTGTTAATACATTAAGTAAATATTCAATATCAAAAAATGCATTCAAATAAATCTATTAAAAATAAAACTTAATGATAAATATAGCATAACATTTCATAATATAATAATTTTAGGATCGTAAAAGTAGTCAAAAGTTTAGAATATTTACAGATATATCTGTAATTTTTTTTAATTCATGTAAGCTTTAACATATTCATAAATGTTGAAATATTAATCAATTAATAGAAAATTCGTAATATGTATTTTTTTTTATTGAGACTAATAATA